CCCCCCCCTTCTGTATTATCTGTCTGTCTGTGTGCCGAAGGGTTCTGTGGAGATTTTGAACCATGGTGACGGCTACGCCACTTCGGTCCCCCTAGTGGTAGAGATACAGTCTCCGGAAGAGACCGGAGGCCACCCAGGTAAGAATGTCCTTCGCCTTCCAAATAACAGCAACATTCGCGGTACCGTACGTGCAGCATTAATAACATTTATCAGAAGTTTGTGAGAAAAGAGGGGAGATGGATTGCACTGTACCCTTTTTCTACACGAATGTTGATGTGAAAAGAGGGGAGATTGGTTATACTTTTACTGTGCCCTTTATTTTACATGAAGGGAGTCTCCGTGGCCCCCTCCCCCCCCCCGCTTCCGAACTTGGTTGCTATTAGTAGGCAATGAGAATGCCTTACGACAGGGTTTGACGGATTGTACGCTGCCCTTTGTTAAGAGGATGCCCGCGTTCGTAGCTTTTGATAATTGGAGGTCCTCGTTTGTGACCCCGGCTGTTCCTGTATGATACAAGCGCACATCAACACCCAAAGGTGTGCGCTGGCGCCAGAGCAAACCAGAGTAGATTGAAAGGAGATTATCTGGGACTGCGGTTTGGTTTTTATGACCCTGTCCTTGTAGCGTGCAGCTCCAGCAGTGCACAGGCTGTGGTATTTTTTTTGCGATTGATGTGAATGCCATCGCCTAAAGTCACGAGTGAAGGTACTGCACCGGTGTGTTTAGGTTGTCTCTAACGGCATCATGATGTACACACACACCGTCCTCGCTCAACCTTCATCGGAAACCTTCATCTTGTTGAAGTTTCGCAGTACAGCACGCGATTTCTGGTGTCGAACAGCGTCGCTTCGCCGCATAGCCTCTTCGAAGTCGAAACCTCCTTGCCGCACTACGTGGTTTTGCAAAGTCGAATCGCGTTGACTCCATCGTCCAACATTCATCTCATGAAAGGTGTCATTCATGCCGTCTAAGGTTTCTCGCATTATTTATTTATTTTTTTTGCTTACAGGCGGAACGCGGGCGTATGCCGTGGGGCTAGTGGCGGCGGGACTCGCGATCGACGACTCTCAAACTGGGCTACCAGTGCCCAACACATCGGTTACCTCTAAGCTTGCGCAGATGCTCCCTTCCGCTGTGGCAGACACCCTCACCATCAACGAGGCACGTTTGATTACATTTTTGGTGTGGTGGTCGTCGGCTCGTTGTGGTTGCCGTTGTTTCTACTTCTGCTGCCGTTGGTGGCGGTGGTGGTTATGGTGGTGTTGTTGTTGCTGCTGCTGCTGCTGTTGGCGGTGATGACGAAGTTGTTGTTGTTGCTGCCGCTGCTGCTGCTGCTGCTGCTGTTGTTGGTGATGGTGGTCGAGGTGATCACTGCCGTCTTTCGTGGTGGTTGTGGTTATATTTGGGTGCGTAGCAGTTGGTGTTGTACATTTGGTTGACCACTTGCGAGTGCCGACCGAGCATGCAGCTGTCCTGGCGTATATCCTCGTCCATTTCCTTCGTTGCACTACACTACCCCTCTTGTCTTGGCGTTTTCGGTCTCGAAGTCCCCCTCCCCCTTCTCCTCGAACCGACATCCCCGTGTCTCTTTCCCACCCCGTTTGCTCGCATTTTACCCCCCCACCCTCCTTATTTCTGAATTGTTCAGCCACAGTTGGCAAAGTAGCAAAGAACGATTGGCCGTCGGTGATTGGTTGAGTGCGAAGAATTCTTCGTCCTCTCTCGAGGACGCTTAGTCAATAGTCTAACCGCTAGGGCATGCAAAACAAAAGAGCTCGCCCCCCGCCCCCTATGTTTTGCATTTTGCAAAGATCTCACCCCCCCATTACCTTTGTACTATGTGACTCTCATCCGTGCAGAAGGGATGCTATGAGTCGCTTGATCTGGTGGACCTACCGGGCGGTACGCCTAAGGTATCTCCGGGATCTCCGACAGACTCCCGGGCTCGCAAGGGTCCGCCCAGCAGTGCCATGTTCGACCCGGTGTTTGGTCCGGTCGGGAGGTCTCCGTTGGAGAAGGAGGCTGTCCTCAACGTGGAGGTGAGACACATGGAGATGTGTCGCGTCGGACATCGTGTCGGAGATGGTCGTAGACCGCGCAGCAGATGGTCGTAGGTCGTGTTTGGTCCAGCGGGCAGGTCTCCGTTGGAGAAGGAGGCTGTTTTCAAAGTGGAGGTTACACATATATCATCCGGTCGCTCCGGTGGTCTAGTGGGTAACCTTTGCAGCCTGCTAAGGGCCAGGTCATGGGTTCGAATCCCGGCAGAGTGAGTTTTTTTCTCACTAAATATATCCTGGTCTAGGGTGAAAGCGACGCGTTGCAAAGCTCGTTGTTAGTAAACCATAGTCGACTTCGTAAGTCGCGAGGGAAGGGATTGCTGTACCCTTCTCGCGATAAAAATACCTCAGGCAGGAACCGCAGGAGGGGTCCAGCCCCCCCCTCCTATGTGACCCCGGTTGTGTCGTCTAGCTAGTAGAAGTGGAGGATAGGGGCCAGAGGGGCAGACGACAGAGTCCAATGATGGGAGAAAAAAAATATATATATATGTAAGAGATATATAGATATATATATATATAGAGAGAGAGATGTATCGGTGATCGGTCCTGTGTGAACAGTGCTCCGTCCTCTAGAGGACACGCGGTCAATGGTCTAACCGCTAAGGCATGCGAAACATAAGAGCACGCCCCCCCCCCCCCCCCCCCCCCCCCCCCCCCCCCCCCCCCCCCC